GCTCGGGACAGGGGCGGGGGAGGGGGAAAGGGAGGAGGGGAAAGGGAGGGAGAAGGATGGGAAGAGAAGGTGGGGAGATGGGGGTTTGAGTAAGAACACGAGTGGAAAGAAGGGTGGGGAAGGCGGAGGGGGAGAGAGGGAAAGGGTGGTGGGCGTAAAAGTGGAGGAAGTTGCGTTTGGAGGGGGGGCCTGCAGGGCGAGGCGCCGGAGTTGGAGGGTTGGACGATGGTCATTGGGCGGGAAAAGCGGACGCCGCCGTCGAGATTTCGATTCGGCGCTAACTGTAATGAAAAGGTGTAAGTGCACCGCGTTCTGTCGTTGGAAGCCTCATACAGTGCCCCGGCCTAAGCGCCCTATTTCGCACCTCTGTGTAAGGCGGCACGCATCCGGCCAATGGCACCTCTATCAGAAACTGTAATGTGAAGCCGACTCTTGGCCTCTACTCGTCAGCTTGTCTGAAATGATTGATCTGTTACTGAGGGCAGATATCGCCCATCCGACTTGTCGCCCGTGATCTTTCAGCCATCCCTCTGTAAGCTTTCCATGCGCTTCGCCAGACATCTGATGATCAGATTCTGATCTCATCTTTTGCTTTATTCCAACCCAGTTAATCCGATGGCACCGTGCCCGATGAACAGTTTGACGCTCGACTCGCACATGTATGGCTGCACCATTTTCGAGTTTGTCCCTGCATAACGATCGCTTCGCAGGGGTGACCTCACGGACGACATCCGCACTGCCTCCCGCGTCTATCGTCCTGCATCAGCATTCGGCATTTATCCTGCATGCAACCGGTACAGGTATATAGGTATATTATATATTTTGAGGCTCCACGTCGCCCACGTCTCTTTTCAGAGGCCGGTTAGCGTCTGCACAAACATCAGGATTTAACGACAAAGCGCAAGAATCGCGAAAGAGAAACTATTGCGTGATATGAGAGCATCCTTCAATCCGGCCATGCATTCTCGTTCGGCTCTCACGTCGGTCCGGGGCCATCCCCGGCGTCACTGCCCGCGTTGCGCACACATCCTGACTCCTCGTAGAAGAAGCCGGATGTTTGACTGCACAGTAGGTGCCGCTGATATCACCAACCCAGAGTTATCTCTTTCGATCAGAATATCAGACCTGCGTGCAGCCCGAATGCGTTTTGTGTATTTGAGACCGTACCTAATGTAAGATATCTGTCGAACTAACAACGTCTGGGCACGTCTAATAAGCATCCGCAGTTGCAAGTGATGCGCGTTGAGGCATGTTTGGTGGTTGGTCGGGCTTTTGGTACATAGGACTAGCGGTCGTAGGATTTGCTTGACCGTTTGTTGATTCCTTGCATGTACCGTACGTTCTCACTCACACCACACAACTTATGAGGTCATGAATGCAGGATGTGGAAAGCGTTAGGTGTCCGAGCAGCAATGAATAAGACTCTTCGCTTTTGTGAAAAAGTTAAGCTCGACTCTTGGGCAGTGCTGCAGTACTAACAATATTTGCACATCACCTACGGAGGTAGCAACTACCCACCAGTACTTTTTTTTGTCAGTTTCCCCGAACATTTGTATGCTTTGGCGGTTGATTAGAATCCTGCGGGGGCGCTTACAGTTTTTTTTTTATGCCGCGATGATTTTCCCACCTTAGTCTGCTCCACCATCTTTACCCCGCCCTGTCTGGTGCATCCTGATAGCAAACTAGCGTCACCCTAGCGAAGAGTGATAACTGCTTGATGCCCTCGACGAGGACAATCGGCCAGTGGTGACACGTGTAACTACAGTGCTGCCTCAATTTTCCGACTATGTTTCCGGGCATCATACAGTAGCCTTTTTCTTTGGGCAATTTTATACTTCGGTTTGTGTAATGCGACTGTAAGATATAACCCTAGAACGACCGCGTCGTCGGCGATCCAACCGCTCCGATCAACCGGCTTCATTCACGTCCGCCGAACGTTGCGGTTGCTATTCATCTCCGTAGCAACACCACCGCGAACTTGCGTCGGTCGAACTAGCTCTCCTTCCGGTATCCGACAGTAGCAATGGTTCGCTCTAACGGAAAGCGCGCGAACACGCGCGATCTCTTCAGAAAGGCGTTCCGCAAGAAGGGAAATGAGCATCTCTCAACCTATCTTCAAATCTTCAAGATTGGCGATTTCGTCGACATTCATATCAACCCGGCCGTCATGAAGGGTATGCCACACAAGTTCTACCAAGGGCGTTCTGGCCGCGTCTTCAATGTCTCCCGCACATCCGTCGGCGTCGAGGTGTCGAAGACAGTTGGCAACCGCATCATGATGAAGCGTTTTCACATCCGAACCGAACATGTCCAGAAGTCCCGCTGTAACGAGGACTACCTGAAGAGGTGCAAGGGAAGGGAAATGGAAGCCAGGGAAGCACATTCCAAGGGCGACAAGTACAACGTCATCAAGCGCACCCCGGCCTTGCCGTCTGAGGCTCACATCGTCGATGCGAGCAAGATGGAACTTGTCGATCCAATTCCGTACGAATTCATCGTGTAATCTGGTAAACTCATTTTGGCACGTTTCGATCCTGCTCGTTTCGCGCCTCCCGTTACGCGCGCGTTTCCGCCTACCATGTGGTCATGGTAGGGGGGGTACAGTGTGTGAACGGACGCGCGAACCCCTTGCCGAACGAGCGTACGAGCGATAAAATATGCGAACACTCGCAATCTTTCCTACGATCTTTACCTCGAAGTCATCTACGAAACGCGCTAGTGTGTTGCCATATGCGCTATCTTGGACATCTTGTCGAACATGGTTGTCTTACGCGAAGCGAGCCCCGAACGATGCCGTTGGAGGGTGGTGCCCCCGTTCGTGTGGCGAAGATTTTGTGAAGAGTGAGTAAAGTAAGTTATCGCACGATCCTATTCTTGCGCTCGTCTCAATACCGCGGTGGACTATGATGTTGTCTTTCTTCTTCATATTGATCCGGCAGGCTACGGTAGACTACATCTTGTAGAAAGTTTGGTGCTCCTAGGCACCGTACACACAGCTTCGGTCTTTTCATCGACGCGCAAAGAAACTCGCAGTAAGCTGCACTGAATCTCTTTCTACGCGAATGGCATCCGGTTTACAACATGTCCACTTTGCCACCGAAGCCTCCCTAATATTTGTTTTACTCGGCGTAGAGACGACTTGATTTGACATAGGGCTATTTCCATCCACATCGGGAACACTGCTTGCACCAAGCGCTGGCAGCTGTCGACAAGAATTTTCGCACAAGTGAAAGGCTCAAAATGGATGTTGCGACCGTCTTTTGTACGACCCATACACACTGTTGGGCCTTCCTCGGGCCTTTTCTACGGCAAAATCGACTGTGGCATTGAACTCAGATGCCGCATGCAGGAGTGTATATTTCTAGCATGGAGCACCACCACGAAATAGTTGGGGGTTTTCAAGCTGTGCGCAATACTCGCGGAAGGAGGGGGGGAGGGAAGGCCGCATCAAGGCCGATGCAGACGAGATATTCGACATGGTATTGATTGCTAAATGCTTGTCAGTACAGTATTGACTTGGTTTAATGTACCAAGAGCATCCATCTCTACCCGTCGGAGCAAATTACCAAATACATAATGAATAAGAAAGCAATTATTCTAATTTCACTTGTCCTCAGAATCCTTCAAACTTGATGCGTTATCAATGTGTCTCAACCCGTGCATATCTATGGATACGGCATCCCTGGACACGGCATTCCTGGACACGGCTCTTGAAGACATGGAAAGGTGTTCCGCCCATCAATCAAGGACAAGCCCGTATGGTCGTCCTATGGTACACGTGTCATGTCAACAAAGGTAGCTCACCTGATCACAGCAATTAACCTTGGTCTATATATTAACCTGGGTTCAGAAATAAACTGGACCAGGTTATTATTGGTTTTGACCTGGAGGAAACAGTCTTATGATAAGTCGCATTTAGAGTTCCAAAAGGGCGAGAACGCATGTCGCCGCCTCGATATGGTCTTTGGGAAGAGAAGCAGCTCTTTTCTGAGCTGCAGACAATAATATCCAAGCATCGTGTCCATTTCAATGGGCAAGAAGTGGAGCCGTAATTTCTTGAATACTTGTCAGCAATGTTAGAAATCAAGGTTAATCCAGTGGTTCACAAATAAACTGGACCATGTTATAGCTGATTTGACCATATATTAATCTGGGTTCACAATTAATCCGGACCATGTTAAATATGGTTATAGACCTGAAAAAGGGGCTTCAGAATTAAGTTGGCCCAGGTTAATTGCTGTGATCAGTGTAGCTCGCTTCCAAACAACGCCGAGATGAAGCGGAGTCCTCCAGCGACGGCTGCAACTCATTGGTGGAGCAGGAAAGACATCGAGGCAATAATATATCGCCATAATCGGACTCACCAACCAGCGCACCAACCACTTTGCAACCCGTGTAGAGATTTCCCCACAAAATGCCCAGCTTCTAACCCGTACCCAACTCTCTCCACAACACGCACGGACCCACTCCACATCCTGTCGCAACCCCTTCCCCCTTGCTCCCCCAACCCAGCGCCACCAGGTCACCTCCCACCGCCATGTCTGCGCAGCCGAACCAGTTACACTTTGTCCGTAGCCACCGCTTCTCCTTCATGTCGCCTTCCGGCGCGCGCTACCGGCACCGCCCCTCAGCACCGCTGCCGGTGCCGTCGGAGGCGCGCGTGGACCTAGCGACGGAGATCAACCGCGCGACGGAGCTGCCGTCCGCGCGCGCCTCCGTTTCGCGTCTGCGCGCGCTGGACGCGCTCGCGCGCGGCGAGGAGTGCTCGTTCGCGGCGCTCGCGCACGGGATCATCCCGGACGTTGCGCAACGCTTCGTCGACAGGTACGGGGAGCGCGTCTACGGCGGGAGGTTTGTTGGGGAGGACGGGAAGAGGTTTGTGACTTCATGTCAGGACCCGTCGATCAGAGTGTATGAGACGAACGGTTGCGAGAAGAGGGCCGCGTGGAAACTGACCCACGAGATCAAGGGCCTGGGCGTGCACTGGACCATCACGGACTTTGACATCAGCCCGGACGGTCGGTGGCTGGCGTACGTGAGCTTGAACCGGCTCGTGCATGTCGTCGACTTGGAGAACGTGCGCGAGGCGCAGACAGTGTTTGATTTGAGCGTTGGGGCAGGGTTCTCTGTTAACATTTGGAGCATCAAGTGGAGCCATGACGGGAGTGAGATTGTGGCGGGGACGGGCGGGAACGGGAGGAGCTGCTATGGAAATGTTATTATTTTTGATGTGCAACTCGGGAAGATTGTGCAGGTGCTGTCGGCGCACACGGACGACGTGAATTCGGTGTGTTTTATGCGGACAGGCGAGCGCAACCTCATTCTGTCGGCGTCGGACGACGCTCTAGGTAAGGCCCAATTGCCAACTTTGCGTTTGCGTTTACCCGAAGCGCGTAAGGTGGACCCGACGATGCTAACCTGTCGGAATGCGCGTGCGTATGACAGTGAAACTCTGGGACCGTCGCGACACGTCAACGCGCGACCAAAGCTCGCATCACCGCGCGGCGGGGGTGTTTGTGGGGCACCAGTGCGGGCTAACGTTCGTCTCGACCAAGGACGACGGGCGTTTCCTTCTCAGCAACGGGAAGGACCAGTACATCAAGCTGTGGGACGCGCGCAAGTGCACGTCAAGCTCCGAGCTGGGGCAGGTGTCGTGGCCGCCGCGCGACCTGTCGTTCGACTACCGGCGGCAGTGCCCGCGGCTGGAAACGGGGCGGCGCGGCTTCCACGACGACGCGGTGATGTCGTACGCGGGCGCGCACGAGACGCTGCAGACGCTGATCCGGGCGTACTTTAGCCCCGCGCGCACGACGGGGCAGAAGTATGTGTATTGCGGTAGCAGCGATGGACGGTGCGTGGTGTATGAGGCCGTGAGTGGGAGGTGCGTCAGGTCGCTCAGAGGGCACGCGCAGGTGGTCAGGGACGTGTCGTGGCATCCGAACGCGTGCTTGCTCACGACGACTTCGTGGGATGGCCAGGTGGTTTTGTGGGGCGCTGGCGGAAAGGGCATGGAGGGGTGGGGCGCTGGCGGAAAGGGCATGGAGGGGTGGGGCGCGGAAGGGCGAGTGGAGGAGGCGGAGGAGGAGGAGAAGGAAGAAGAAGGAGAAGTGGTTGTGGTATTTTAGACGTAGGGGGGGGGGAGAGGTGTACAGTGTGGAGTTGTACCATAGTGTCTACAGTAGTGTCTATCCGACCTGGGCTTGTTCTCAGGAGAGCTCTTTTTTTGCATAAATGTATAAATTAAATTGAACATTTAAACATCTATCTTGAACATTATTTCCTTAACGCACTTGTTTTCGGCAATAACATCTTGCAGAACACTGGGATAGAAGCTTGGAAGTTCAAAGCATATTCATAATCTTTCGGCGTGTTCAAGTTGAACACGCCGAAAGATTAAGAATGTAATGCAGATTGAGTACCTAGAGTTCTCTCTTCAAACTGAGGTTTTCGGTTTCCAACTTATTTTACATGCGGTTTCAAGGTGGTTTTAAATAAGCTTCTTTTCCAGACATACCTAAGAACGACCAGGAAGAACAAGCAATTCTCAAAAAGTTTTTTCTGGTCCCATGGAAAAAGTCCAGTACGGTGGCGGGTATCGTTTTCTTTCTTGTCGAGAAAGTGCAAGTCAAGAAAAAAAATAGGTCGAAAACTGTCCTCATATGAGAATAATGGTCCGATAGACACAAAACGGTAAGTGACCTCACATGAGGTCACTTTTCAACTTGTTTTTTTGTCGACTTGTGCTTGCTCGACAAGAAGGAAAAGATACTCTCGCCACCCCAGTTGACTTCCGCGTTGCGGAAGGGTGGAGTTTGGTGAGATCCCGCTCGTCTTTTCCAGGGCTTACAGTATACTGTATGAGGCAAATTGGCCGTCGTCTGGACAATAGCGGGGTCGGTTTTTTTTTGTACGGTGTGGTAAACGGATTGCAACCGTGTGTTGTTCGACTTGGTGAAGATCAACAAGGACATGGATGACCTAACGATACTATGGACCATGGCACGTGGCAGGTTGAAAAAGTTATGACGTTCTGGCGAGTGCTGTGGCGCATTGCAGGTGCCACGTGTACCGGCATGCCAGAATGCGGAGCACAGAATGCTCCGCATTCTGTGCTGTTGGATGCGCAAGGGTCGGTCCAATCACTAGCGACGAATATCTCATCCCTGGCAGCCATTGGCCATCCTCGCTCCCCCAGCCAACCGGCCTCTTACACCCGGTACAAGGATCCGTCCAATCACTAGCGACGAATATCTCATCCCCGGCAGCCATTGGCCATCCTCGCTCCCCCAACCAACGGCCCCTTACACCCGGACAGGGCAACCGCATCGTTAACATAGTCATATCGATAGCACCGCCACATCGTCCGCGTATGTCGGCCCTGCCCAGCTGTCTCGCATTGGCACGTTGCTGGCTCTTGAAAGACAACGCGGCCAGGGCGTGAGATCTCCGTTAACCCTTCGCCCATCTGCCCGCGCACGCCATCCCCCTTCCCCACCCCCGCCTCGCCCCTCGCCCCTCGCCCCCGATCTCCGTCACTCACCATGGTCTCCCTCGCCCTCGACGACGCCCTGCGCTCGCGCGTCAAGTCGCTCGCCACGCGCCTATCCGGCGACGACGCGGCCGTGGTGGCCGAGCTGCTGGCCAAGCTGGACGGCACGGAGCCGCCGTCGGCGGCCGTCAAGGCCGCGCCGCCCGCGGCGGCCACGCCCGTCAAGTACGCCACCATCGACCTGCCGTACCTGCGCGCCTTCATGCAGGACGCGCTGGTGGCCGCCGGCGTGCCGCCGCCCGAGGCCGCCGTCGCCGCCGAGGTGCTCGAGTGGGCGGACTTGCATGGCGTGTCCACGCATGGCATCGGCCGCCTCAAGCCCATCTATATCGATCGCATTCTCGCCGGCATTTTGAAGCCTACCGCCCCGTTCGAGGTCATCGTTGAGACGGAGACTACCGCCGTGGTTGACGGGCACGGAGGCCTGGGGCTGTACATCGGGCCCAAATGTATGGATATGTGCATTGAGAAGGCGAAGAAGCATGGCTTGGCCATGGTCGTCACGAGGAATAGCACGCATTATGGCGCGGCAGGGTACTACGTGGATAAGGCACAGGAGCACGGGTGCATCGGGATTACGGGCACCAATGCTAGGCCCTCCATCGCCCCGACGTTTGGCGTGCAGCCGATGCTGGGCACCAATCCTATCACGTTTGGCATGCCCAGTGATGACCCGTTTCCGTTTATCTTGGATTGTGCTACTAGCGTCAACCAGAGAGGCAAGATTGAAAAGTACGCGAGGGAGGGCAAGCCCACGCCGCCGGGCCAGGTCGTCGATCGTGACGGCAACGTCCGGACGGACACGGAAGGTATTCTGAAGGACTTGCAGACGGGTTACTGCTCGCTCGCCCCGCTGGGGGGTGTCGGCACCGACATGGGAGGGTACAAGGGGTACGGATACGCGACGGTAGTGGAGCTTTTGTCATCGGCGTTGTGCAGCGGGACCACGAGCCCGGATTTGAGCGGCGTGGACAAGGCTACGGGGAACAAGAAGGCGATGCCGCTGGGCCACTTCTTCATCGCGATCGACGTGGAGCGATTCCTGCCCGTGGGCGAGTTCAAGAACAACACGGGCAAGTTTTTGCGCCAGCTGCGCGAGTCGGAGAAGGATCCCAAGGGCCCCGGCAGGATCTACACGGCGGGAGAGCTGGAGCATGAGGGTACGATCGCCGTCGAGAAGAACGGCGGCACGCTGGTGCCCGAGGCTCTGCAGAGGGACATGCTTGCCATTCGCGACAAGTACGCGAGTATTAAGGACAAGTACGCCAAGTTTAGTTTTGAGTAAGCAGGAAGGAGAGGGTATTTAGCTGATATCGGGGTCTCGAAGCACTGCCCGATCGCGGCCGGCTGCACTTGGACCGTTGGGGAAGGGCGGTCCCAAATTCCATAAACTACTTACACTCTCGTCCAGTCGTCCCTATTTTCCACTTGAATTCTAGTCGAACACGGCGCACGGCGGAGCTTCCCGTCTGTGCCCCATAAATAACGGCGCCGCAATCTTACGAGGTGTTATGAGGTTGGACGATAAACGTTTTTGAAGGAAAGGTTGGTTGTTGGTTTTCTTCTTGGTTACCCTCATCTTACTGTGCTAGCAAACCATCTGCCCCTAAGTACAGTAGATGTTCTAACCCCTGGCTTCCCTCGTTCTCTGTGAGCCCGAGGGTGTCGTACAGAGCAAGATGCGCTTGATCAATTCAACTAAATTGCACATTTTCTTATTCCAGCCAGGCATTTCTATTTGCAGTCTTCAATTGGGAACAATGTCATGCCTTCGTGTGTATAAATGTACGTCTATTGAGACATAGAGAGTCACCGTAGCAGGTTACACTATTCTGCGAGCCGCGTGTACGCGTGCGGTTTCAGGGACAACGGATGTATCACTACGTTTTATAACGCGCAAGCCGAGAATCAGAACCATGCCTTACCTCTATATTGCTGGTTTCCTCTCCCTGCGTCCGGTCCGCCTTCCGCTCACCCTCCCGACACTCCGATCGCCAAATCCGCCGACCCCGTCCGACCGAACCGCGCTGCGCCGCGACCGCCCATCCCACCTTGCATCTGCACCTTCCCCTTCCGCACCGCTTTCTCCCCATGGCGCGCCTGCGCACGTGGCGCGGCGCCCTCCCGCTCCTCCTTCACCTCCTGCTCGCGCTGGCCCTCTTCCGCTGCGCGCTCGCCTTGGACGACGACCCCGACGACGACTCGGGCTCCATCGCTCTCTCCAAAGCCGACATCGAGGAGCTGGGTTTCAAGGACGACCCTCTGCGCCGCCAGGCCCGCGCAAAGCCCGGCCGCGACACCCTCTCGGACACCCTCAAGAGCCAGAGCCTCACGGACAAGGAGCCGGCCGAGCTCAAGCACACGCAGCGCGAGACCGTGCGCGACGTCCCGGACACCGCCGACTTTCACGGTAGCGACGACAAACGCCCCGTCGATGCCGCGTCCCCGCCGGGCATGGTGACCCCGCCGCGCGCAGAGAGGGACGTACCCAGGCCGGACCAACCCAACGAACACGACGCCGCGAGGAGGAGGGCCGAGGCCGCTGAGGGGAAGGTCGCGGCTGCGCAGAAGGAGGCGCGGGAGAGCAAGAGGGAGGCAGAGGAGCGGAAGAAGGAGGCCAGTGCGCGCGCCCATTTCTACCCTCCAGGCGCCCGCTCCCGCGCCCCCCGCTGTAAGTGTACAAATATCCGCCAACCGCGGCGCAACACATGTCCCGCACTGCAACCCCCGCCACGCTTCCAACGCCCCTCCCTCCCTAAACTGCCTTGCATTTCAGACTTGAATGAGTCACCCCATCACCGCGCCCCGAGCGCCATGTTCAGTTCCGCCTCGCCCGCCGCGGCCTTCGAGCGGCTGCAGGAGCAGTACCCCCCGCAGTATCTTGACGTTCGTACGCCTCCCGAGTTTCAGGCCGGCCATCCGCCTGGCGCCGTCAATGTCCCCGTCACACTCGACTTTACAAAACCCGTCGATACGTTTGTGCAAAATGTCGCCGACCTGTTCCCGAAGGACGCAGATTTGCTCGTCGGGTGCAAGACCGGGGCGAGGAGTATGATGGCCATCGGCTTGCTGGAGAAGGCCGGGTTTGAAAAACTAACCAATGTCGAGGGCGGGTACAATGCATGGAACGCCGCCAGTCTTCCACTGGGGAACTGAGTACGTCCAGTATGTCCATGATCGAATACCTGCGTGGGTGTAGATCGCCAGACTTCACACCCATACATACCGTTGTCATTCAATTTTTTTTTGTACAAGAAAGGGTTTTATTGCTTTCATTCGATTGCTCCTACGTAGCTCTCCCTCTCCCTCTCCCCCTCACCCACTACTCCTCCTTACCCGCCGAGTGATCACCACTGATCGCCGCCTTCATCAGTCCACTCCACGAACCCGACTAAAGCTGCACGCCGGTGGAGCATGTATGACGGAAAGGGTCAGTATAGCGTCACAATCTGACATGTTTACAGTGAAAGTGACAAGGTCGGAGGGTTCATTTTCGAAGATAACCCACCATTAATATTAAAATATTTCTTGTAGGGTCCAGCGTGACATGGCGCTGGAAAATTGATGCTGGACGAGAACTATCTTGGACGATCCGGATTCCAGCCGAAATTTACAGTACATTAAGCTGGAAAAGCAGCTCTCCAATGAAAACCGTGATATTTGAGTACTTTACTAAAACATTACAGAACATTGTCGTGAACGAAATGGATCAGCAATCACGTTGGAAATGGACCTTGCTGTACTGTTGCGGTAATCCAACCGCGAGGCACCGAGCGAGTCGTAAAGTCGGGAATCCACCCACTTCCTTTACTCTTTGCTCGTTCGCTGCCTCCCCTCTCTATCTCTGAGGGTAGGCGATTAAGTACTACTCCCCGGGAGGCCTCAGCTGTCTCTGATCTTTCCTCCCCTGCCCCCTTTCGTTTCGACCCAGCAGCTCCCGACCACCCGGCGCTGTCCCCCCCCCCCCCCCCCCAACTCCTACCGTCCATTGCCGTCCTCCTTGCCGTTGGCGCTACGCGCGACACCAGCTGCACCCCTTTTTCCCTTCGGAAGACTGGATTACCCGCCCTTTCGGTTCCCTACATGCGCGCACGTGCACTCCTGTTCCGGTTCGCGATCCGTTTGTCCACGTTTACACGTGGGGTTCAGTTCTTCCTCAACAGTACTGTACCAATATTCCGACCTAGCTCGAGCTGCAGGACTTCGCGTAACGTCGGTAAACTTTACCGATGAGAGCGCACTATCACGAATCGACAGAACTTGATTAGTTTGGGAGCTTTTGGGATCGTGTACCACTAGGGTCTAGACGACAAGCAATTTGACCTCATATGAGGTCAGTCATGGCCTCATATGAGGCCAGCTTTTTTTTGCAAAAATATATAAATTAAATCGAAATTTTAAAACATTCAGTTTGGACACCATTTCTTTAACGTATACGCGCTCGGCAATAACATCTTGCAAAACATTGGGATGGCGGTTGTCTATGCACAGAGAGACTAAGAATCTAATGAAGTATCAATGACGAGGTGACTTTTTAAACAGGCGTTTTGGTTTCGAAGATATCAACATAAAACGTTTTGAGATTGGTTAAAAAAGGCTCCTTTTTGGGCATTTTAAAAATGGCTGGAGAAGACGTGCAGATCTCACCAAACTCCACCCTTCCACAACGCAGAAGTCAACTGCCGTGTCGAGAGTATCTTTTTTCCATCTTGTTGAGCTAGCACAAGTCGAGAAAAATAAGTTGAAAAGTGACCTCATATGAGGTCATTTGTCACCTAGACACTAGGGTACACGATCCCAAAAGCTCCCAAGGGTACATTTGGCGGATATTTTGGCAATATTATTGCTATCTTGCTATTTTCCAGGTGCCGTTGTTCTTGAATAAAAGTTTTAAAAAAGTCTTTGATGATAATCAATCTGACAAATCTGAATACAGCATCAACTCAAGTTGTATGAGACGATACGGTACATGCCACAACGCACTTATTGAGCGAACACAATTCCTTGTCACTAACTGCTAACTGAAGAGCAGAAAAGCAAGTTTTACTTTTGTAAGAGAGCTGCATATCAGCTTAACTGTCGAAGCAGGTTGACGTTCAAGACGCAGCCTCGCTCGCATATTGCGCTAAGACGAGATGTTGTGCTGAGAGGGCAGTTGCACATTGAACCTTGTGTGGAAAACGTCCTTCGGGTCGACATCTTCCTTAATGCCCTGCAGTTTCGAGTAAAGCTGCGGGTTGTCGTAGTAATAATCCCACACGTTCTTGATGTCCGTGTCGCCATAGCAGCCCCAGAGCAAGCGCACCGCCTGGCCCTCCGGGAACTCTCGGTCAAGCAGCTCGCCCATCGCCACCTGGTACTGCTTTGCCACTTCCTGGTTACCCGCCGTGTAGAACACATCGAACACGATGAGGATCGAGCACTTGCGACGCGAGCAGCCCGTAATCGATACCTTGCTCCCGTCTGCGGCCTTCTGCATTCCGCCGTTTAGATGCTGGCTTCCGCCAAGCCCGACCTGGAACACGAGCCGCACTTTTTCGTCCTTGATTACGTCGCTGCAGAGGTTCACGAATCCAGTCACGAACCCGTCCGTCAGCGGCACGAACGACCCGTTGAGACGCTTTTCGTACGGATACTGGAACTCGCGGCCCTCCTTTCCGGTGCCGAAGCGGCGCACAAAATCATTCGACATGGACGACAGCAACTTCTTTCCGTTGAACGATGTAAAGGAAATTTGGGGGATTATTGTCTTCACCTTGACCTTCTCATACAGTTTGTTGAAGCTGTCAATCGTGCTGTTCATCGTATCCTCGCTTGCATCATGATCTCCGTACACAAGTTCAAGCAGCAAAATCCCGTCCGGGAGAAAAGGGAGATCTGGCGGCAGCCCCATGATCGGGAACTCCATGATCGCATCGCCCTCAGGTTCAGGCTGGTCCGTGCTCATGCTGCCCTCTGCAAACCCGCGGAGATCGAACGAAAGTGCGCTAGCCATCATGTCACTGTCTGCTTGCAGTGTATCACCGTCGCAAATCTTCACGGTTCTCGCCTGAAGCTCCTCCATAATCGCCCTGAACGACTTCTTCTTGTATGTCAGCGTAGCCATAAGGCCGCCCGAGTAAGGATGGTCAACGTTCTTGATCGTGTCGTACGTGATTGTCGTCAGAATGCCAAAGCTGCTCGGCCCGCCCCCGAGCACGGCGAAGTAGACATCGTCGTTATTCGGGAGCGAGCGCGTACCTACAACCCCCGGCTTGAGGATTTCGTGTGCAGACCCGTCGCCCACAACGATGCGGAATGAGCGCACATGGTCAATGATGAGACCGTAGCTGCGCAGCAGATGCCCGTAGCCTCCAGACTGTGTGTGTCCCCCGATCGCAACAAGGGGACACTCGCCGTGCGGCACCGTGACACCCGCCTTGTCGAACTCATCTGCTATGTGCGTAAGACGAACGCCCACGCCGGCAGTGATGATGTGGAAGTTGTTCGGGTCGGCAATGACATCGCGGAAATAGTCCATACTGAGGACAATCGTCTCGTTACCGCCCGAAGAAAGGCCGCTGTACTGGTGTCCCCCGCTGCGCCCGACGACATTTTTCTGCTGCGGGAATGACTTTGCGAACGCAATTGCAGCAGCAATGTCTTCCTCGTCGAACGGAAAAGCCACCATGTACGGCGTCATATCCTGCGCGGGATAGGACGTTGTGGCGTATTGATACGCCCTATCCTCATAAAGGACATCACCCTGCATGTAGACGTTGCCCTTGAAGTTCGGAATGAGGTTCTCCTTCACTTTGATCGTCGGCGGGACCACCGGTGGCGCGAAATTGGCTTGCAAAGTGGAGAAATCAGGAGTTTCCGGAAATCGGCACATGGAGATAGTTTCCTGGAACCGAGATGCAACTTCCTTATCAGTTTGGCTGGGGAAGGTCGGTTTGAAAAGGAATGCCGAGAGCTCGAGCTCTCCTTCCTTGTTGATAGAGATGCGGGTCGAAGATGACACGGCCACTGAAAAGAGTTCGCCCTCTGCGTTTGTACCGAGAGTTTCGTCGACAACCACACTGATATCTTGGATCGCTGACTCGACCTGCGCCATGGGGAACGTATGGTGCAACAGAACAGCTTCTTTGCCATATTGCAAACGTCCCATCTCTCCCGAGGCAATGGTTTCGGGGCCAGCAGCCGCGCCCTTGAAAACCTTAAACACGCCAGTTGACTGGGGAGAGTTTCCCGTGACACGAAGCACGGCGTCTTTGACGGCGTGGAGAAATGCGTCCGAAGAATGCTCTCCCTTGCCAGAGACGTAGACAACGATGACCGGAATGTTGTACATAGCGGCCTTGGTGTGGACAAGGATGTCGGACTGGTCAGTGATGGTCTTTGCGACCGTCGCAAACAAATCCGTCAACAAGCGGAGCGCGGTCTCGGAGTGGTACATGACAGCTGTGCGAGCGAGCCAGTATTCTGCGGCCTCGGCGGTCGGAATGGCGCGGAAGAAGAGCGAAGTGACAATGGCTGTGCTGCTGTGCGAAAGCGCGTCATCGATGAGGGCGGCGTCGGTCTCCGGCGCGGCATGCACGATCGCTCCGTCGGGCTGCACGATTGTCGCGGCCGTGAGGCGGCTGTGCAGCGTGCCGATGGTGCGCGAAAAGTGGGACTGGACGCCGGACTTGAGCGCGTCGACCACGGTTTCGTGCGGAAGGTCCGGGACCGGGAGGAGTATGCGAGCGTGCCTGGCGGCGGAGACGAGCGCGGCGATGGTGACGGCGGCACCGATGACCACCGTGCCGTCCGGCGAGACGTGCAACGAGTTGAAGGCGTCGAGCTTTGCGACGACAGCGCCGGCCAGACGCTGCGAGATGGTAGCCGGGTTGTAGGCGGGGGCGCCGAACTCGGGCACGACTTGCTTGCCCAGTTTCGAGGCGGCGATGATGCATGCCGAAAGTGCGTTGGTAGATGTCGGGCGGACGACGGCGTTGTGGCCGAACGAGCTGCCGACGGGCAGGAAGTTGGGCTCTATGGAGACGGGGCACGGGAAGTGAGACATGTTTGCGAATATGGTCGGAGGTGAGTACGGAATGGGTTGATTGGGGGCTTGGTTGGAGCGCGAGGAGGTGGCAGAGTAGAAGAGCTGGGGCGTGCGAACTTGAGGTGGTTAAATAGATTTGACGCTCCCTCAGCAGTAGCGTACACATGCCAATCTATGAAACGATAGAACTGTGCGGCAAGAGGATATGTTCAGGGGCGTTGCGAACCGATGCAAACATTCTGCTTGAGTCAGCAGTGTGTCACACACTGCTTGAGTCAGCAGGGTGTCCTCTGGATGCCGGAATAACCTAGGCGCTTGTGATGGGTGACGCTGGGTCGTGTAGGTGTGCAAGTGAAACTGTCGATCTGGTCCCGAGACAAGCAAAAGAGAGTTAGAGAAAGGTAAAGTTTGCTCGGGCTACCAGACCGCACTCACCCTTGTAGATCCCAACAAACGCCGAGACCACGTAGTGGTCATTAGTTTCGTCCGACACCGCCCCTCCATCGTCACACCCATTAGGCCCTGCCGCTGCTGTGGCGGTAAGGGCCGCCAGCGCCAGAACCTCGGCCGACCGCCGAGGGGCGAGCACAGTTTAGAGCGACTCTTGACTATGCCATATTCCGACAATCCGGAGGGCGCTCAGTCGGAGCAAGTCTAGCAGTTTGGTAAACTTACTATATACACCACATACAGCATTCGAAAATACAGTGTGCGAAACGCAAATAAATACACCCATCGTCGAGCGGGTTTTCGCCAGATGCAGGCCGATAACATAAAGACGCCCACTCTATGACAACGCAAAACACACGATGAGTCCGATTCTGGGCTCAGATTTGCTCAATCATAAACGCATAGACAGATATCTTCAAAAAAGTATGCGAAACGCAAATAAATACGCGAAACGCTATAGAGTACAGTAGAAGAAATGTCTTTATTCTAGTATTTTGTCGCTCGCCCTTGTCCATCCAGCACTGCAAGCATACGCCGCGGTATGCTACGATAGAGCTTCTGTAGCAATTCGCCACTAATTGTTGCCCATACATCCTCAATCACCTCCTTAAGCTGCTCTATCGTATCGAACTGACGCTGGCGAAGATAGACGCGACGAGCCATGATTCCCCAAATGTTCTCAATAATATTAAGATCAGGAGACTTTGCAGGCCAGTCCATAGTTCTCACACCCTTCTCATTGAGCCAAGAGCGCGTGAATCTCGACCTATGAATAGAAGCTCCATCTTGCTGGTAAACCCAGTTCTCCATTTCCCCATACATCTCTGCGGAAAAAGGCAGTAGGGCCTTGTCCAGGGTTTCGCAGTACTTACCCGAATTTTGATTTCCATTTAAAAACACCAAAGGGGATACCCCGTAAGGAGAAATGGCTCCCCAACCCATAACTGTAGCTCCTCCATTTTGCCTCTTAGAAAAAAACCTTTCATCTTTGTGCAAATCATGCCAATAGCAGGCATTTCCATCCGGTCCGTCGAGGTTGAACTTTTTCTCATCGCTGAAGATGACTTTGTTCCAAAAAAAGTTCCCCTTGCTTATAAAACGGCGCACCCATTTGACCCTTTTTTCGCGGTGCAGAGAAGTCATCATTGGGGCGGTCTTCATTTTTCTATACTTTAGATGTGGCGTTGCGCTTAGAATTTGTTGAATTCTGCGGACTCCTACCGGCAAGTTGAGGTCTTGTTTTATGTCTCGAGCTGAATAGTTTCCCGTGGTTGCCTTTCGAATCATAGCCTTTTCTTCCCGGACAGTCAACTTTTGACCAGTTACATGCGCCCGAGACCGTGCAGTGCGACTGGGATTCTTTAAAAAGCGCTGCACAGCTCCTACGGACCTTCCCAATTCTTTCGATATGTCCCGTAAGGACATAAGCTGATGATGCAGGGCAAGGATCTGGCCCTTCTCGAGGTCGGTGAGCGGCGGGCCTCTTGGCATTTTTAATGCTAGTTGATAGTGGACGATGAGGTAGGAAGACGTCAAGTGCCAGTCGGTATAGTACTGTGTCCTTTATTGTTTTGAAATGAAGACTACACGCCAGTTGCCCGCACTTTTCGATACTGTATTCTATGGCGTTTCGCGTTTTTATTTGCGTTTCGCATGCGTTTTTATATATAGCGGTCGATGCGTTTATAATTGAGCCAATCTGAGCCCAGAATCGGACTCGTCGTGTGTTTTGCGTTGTCATGGAGTGGGCGCTTTTATGTTTTCCGCCTGCAAATGGCGAAACCCCACTCGACGATGGGTGTATTTATTTGCGTTTCGCACACTGTATAGACCACGACTTTGAAACTAATGTATCAGCGGCCCTGACCGGCCCGGACCGTTCCTAACGACGAGCACGGTGTGCTAGCACGCAAGCACCCTGCATTTGGCATGAATGGATCGGTTGAACGGGAGCAAAAGCATTTCCAATAATTTTTTCAACCAATACATTCATGCCAAGTTTCAGGGTGCTTGCGTGCTAGCACACCGTGCTCGTCGTTAGGAACGGCCCTCAGGGCCGAGGGCATTCATCGGCAGCCCCAGCAGTTTCGGTGTAACCAGCTACTAGGTCTCCAACGCAAATGAAGGGGGTTTGCGCAGAACAGTGACAATTGCAGGACGACTCGGTCCTTTTGAAGGTGAGCTAAAATATGCTGTAATGGACTCCAACAGCCGACTCAACGCCCTCTACAGCAATGCATAAAAATCGAGAGCAAAAAGGGAATTTCTGGACATGGCCGTCATAATGACCACGCAAATGGACATCAGCGTAAACAGTGAGATTTAACTGCAGTTCGGTGTTACGAGTTACTACAATACGACATGGTCGCCGCAGTTGATCTAGGAGTGGTTAAAAGTGGACATATAAAAGTATGGCAAAACGGTGCTGGTGCTCAAATAGTAATGGCAATGCAGGCGGCAATGCTTCGCAATGGAAAACGGTGGTTTTATAATGTATAATGGCGGAGGGAGAACACACCTGACGTGAAATGGCAAATGATGTATACTGCAGAAGCGAATGGCCAAGGTAGGGCGCTGTCGGGTGCGACACACTCGTAAGGATGTGTATCGACTGCGGTGGTGAATGTCCGACGACGACAGGAATATTCTTACATACATTTCGCAACAAAATGCCGAAATATTCGCCTCTTCGTATTGTCACCGCCAAGTTTGGTGTACCGATTACCGATGAAGTCCGAGAATGGACCGCAGCCGCCAATTAATTTCGCTATGTGTATCGTTTCGAAAAAATGGGGGTTGAAATGCACTGTTTACAATGAAAATCCAGGATGTGTGACACCGAGTTCCATTAAAATTGTGATGTGTACTGCTATCCCAGAAATTATGGTGTGCTGACGACCGAAAAAGACTGAAATGTATATTGTGTGCAGTGATTCGCTTTCATGTTGAGGATTATGTTGACTCATTGCCATTGCATGAAATATGCGGACCTCCTGCCAATACAATTTGACATATCGACCACTTTTTCTTATATTCTGATGTCATAACAATGAAAGTCCTTAATCTCTCTTCGTATTCTACCAAATTATATGAAGGATGTCATGTGTGCCACCATTTCCCAAATGTCGCGAGCAAAAAATGATACTTTTACGATAGTACAGTATCTTTCTGCTGTCCCTACATACTTTCGCTTCGCTGTCTCCCAAACAGCTCCCTCACCCCCTCTGCACGAAATTGGCGTTGCACGAAGTCCGCTCGTCTCTGACGATAGCGCTTCTGTATCCTTCGACGTCGTTCGAGTTGAAAATTCCCAATGTGATACCACCTGCTTGTTAGCTGATAGTATAACTGCATGTCTTCATCCCGCAGCGGCTTCCAGCGTATGTGGAAGTTCGTCAGCCCTAGACATAGACGAAATATGGGGTCATAATTAATCTCGGACCATTTCCATTTCGACCCAAACACATTCAAAAGCCCGCATAAACGTCGGAAATAGTTCTCTACCAAAATGCGGTCACTAGATATAAACTTGTTTGTCGAAACATCCGCGGGAGACAAACACGAGCCATGTGGTTTGGGCTTGGGATAAATAATTCTACAAAACTCCCCCACGCCTTGATAGCCTTTATCGGCTAGCACTGCCCACTGATTCGTGTACCTCTCTGCAAGCGGGCCGCTGTCCGCAATGTCCATTTCATCACTCCTTTTGCGCTGGGTGCGGTGATGAAACCACTGCATTTCCTAGAAATTGACGAGATCGGAAACGGACCCGGACTCGTGCATGCTCGAACCGACAGCGAAACCATTTGGAGTAACAGAGACTTCAACCTTGTATCCATACAACTTGTGTTTACTACTGTAATACCTCTTTTCCTCTTCGACACTGCCCGACGGCCTGAAGGCAGGCTAAAACGTCACATCCGTGGCGTACCTTGCCATGGGATAATTTTTAAACACATGCCCATTTGCCTGCAGTTCCTTCATGGTTCATCTCTTCGTCTGGTTTGAGTCGTAGTGCTCATATAAAGGTTCGGAAAAGAGCTGTATAAACCGAACCTCATTCGCTCATACGCGGACGTTTTCTGTTCAAACATCCACGCCAAAAAATCCGACATACCCCCGTGCTTGAGAACCGCCAATACCATAAACAGCACGTCTTTAAGCTTCTGCGCGCATTTGCGCCCACGACCGACGTTGTAGTTTACAAGGACCAACGCCTCAAACCCAGCCCAAATGCCGATGAATTGGGTCGGGTTGAAGTCGTTCATCTCCAAAATGGCCTTCGCACCCTCTCATCGTAGAAACGGTCAAATATCGGCGCATCAGTCCCATTATCCTCCTCACTGTTCTCTGGGCGCTCGTACTCGAACGCCTCGAGCCCATTACGGCGATCAATTGACGCATTGGCGAGGAGTTGCAGGGCTTGTGCTGCATCGTGGGATGAGAAGCAGGCCATAGTGCAGTGTGCGATTTTGATAGGAAATGGCAGGCGAGATGGGCACACGGCGGAGAAAGCGGGGGTGGGACAAGAGGGGTAAAAGTGGCAGAGCAGATGGAGAGAAACTATT